CTTTCCGTAACTCCAACCGCAGGGGTGACGGTGGGCAGGGGAGTCCCTTCGCCTACGGACGCGCCCTTGGACCCGTGTCATTCACTTGCTGAAACTTGCCCACCGCCGCGGCTGGGGTGGGAGGGCAAGGTAAGAGCGGGCGGCGGGTGCGACCCCTCTTTGAAGACGGCGATTGAAGCCTGGACCTCCCCGTCCGGACAAGTCACTCGCCCAAGCCGAGCGGCGTGCGGCCCCATGGCGGCGTGGGGTTCGGCTGAGGGCTCCGGCCCGCGACGTCCAATCACGGGTAAAACGGGCGATGGGGTACGTCGCGCTACTTGGCATGAGGGGTAGACTGATTTGGTGATAAGAAGGTAGCAATAAGTAATCTCGTTTGCCAGAGGTTTTAGTGTGGGTTTTAACATTTTGGAAACGTTTTGGCAGCCTGTGAACCCGTCCCCAGACAAAGATCAGTTAGGACAAATACAGGGCAATGTTTTCCTCGCTGTCCTGCGTGTTTGCTGAGACCTTGGACAAAATGCTTAAAAAGAAGAAGATCCGTGAGGTACAGGTAAGTAGTTACAAAAGTAGCCGCTGGCCCCGATCCTGCAAACATTTCTGTGTATAATCAGCACTTTTAAAGCCAGGTAGTTATTTACATGCCAGCATGAGGGCCCCACAGTGGGATTTCTGTTCCTCTGCTTTCTGCCGTAGCCCTGCTACTCGAAAGAGGGGCTGCTTTTCCCCGTCGGCATTTGGCACAGGGCCGGGGCGGTGCGGGGAGCCCGAGTGGCTGTCCCTGGGCTGTCTCTGCCCTGGGTGGGAACTGTGTGATGCCCAGGAAGGTTATCCTCCCAAAGTACCGGACTGCTTCTTTAATAGACGTGTAAATGCAAAGACTTAGTTCAACTGTTGTATTGCTAGGGGAAGAATAAAGCTCCAAACGCTGAAAAACGACCGTGCCAAGAGGCGGCGTGAAACGAAAGGGCACCGCTGGGCGCGAGCACCGGGCTCGCCTGCTCCGTGCGAGTGCTGCCCCAGCTTAAAATTGGGGAAAACAACATCTGAGAGGTAGCATCCCGACACGTCCTCGTCCTGCAGTGATACTGGCAGGGCTGAGCAGCACTCTGTTTATGAAAGATTTAAGAGTGACGTTGGAATGTCTTCATTGGTAAGTTTTCCCATTTTGAACATTTTGTTTGTACAATCTGCATAGCTATCTCTTCTCTGCAGTGCTCTTTTACTTCTTACTTCATATATCTTGAGATTGCTTCTGAGGGAGAAAAGCAAGACCCTCATCCTCTCTGGAATATCGTTTTCAGGTTTATTTTTCTTTTTCATTAAGATGAAAAGTCCAAAGAGTAGCACTACTTGTAAATAAGGGTGCAGCAAATAATTTGTTTCAAGGAACACAGACACGCACATAAAATTTTTGAAGAACGGTGCTTCTATAGCTCAGGGAACCAGGCTTTTGGCGTCCTAGCATTGACAGCAAGAGCTTAAAGAACAATTTTTTCTTATTACTTTGTTTGTTTACCAAGATAAGAGGGTTGCTGTGAGTTGGATTTTGTTCCTATTCAGCACAATGAACCACATGGGTTTATACAGGGTAAGGTTGCTCTGATTCATCCCATCGTGGACAATCGCTTATCTTTGGTGAGGTCTGGGGTTTGGAATATAGAAAGTAAAACTGCAATTGTAGTAAAACTGGTGGTTCATGGGGCAATTCTTAAAAAAGTTAAATATGCTCATTAGCATCAGTGATAAATGGAAGGAGGGGGGTGGGTATTGTAGGAACAGAGGGAGCATTGGAAGAAGCGAGTCTGTTAGCATTGAAGAGAAACCTGGAAAGGGACGTCTGGTACACAGTGGGTGAAGGGAAGACAGAGACAGGAGGAGAAGACTTTTAGGTTGAATGTTTGGAAAAAATTACTACCAAGACGAGAAAAGGTCCTTCTGGGAGCAGAAGGAGGGAGCGCCCCAGAGGCACTGCTGTTTTCTCTGCCTGCGAGAGAGGATGCCTCTTTGCTGAGTGCCTGCCAGCTGTGTTTGCATCACCTGTGGAAGTGGATTAAGTCAAAACTGTCTGAATATGCTCCTAAAAAGGACAAAAAGCACCTGCACCAGGAGCTGGACTGTAATGGCTGTCCTGAACTTTGCAACGGGGTCCCTGACAGCCCATATTGCAACCTCCACTGCAGCATCTTTCTCCTTCCTGGAAAAGGGATCTGGCCTTACTAAATATCCAAGCTGACATTACGGTGGGCTTTTTTGGGCCAGGATTCATCAACAGAATTTTGCAGGCAGCTTGGAAAAGCAAAATGATATTTTAAAATAGAAGTAAGCTTTCCTGACTTGGCTAAAGTCCCTGGAAATACATTTCTTTTCGACTCTTCAGATGCAGCACTTCTCTCCTGTGATATTATGGGAGCAGCTCCACCTCCTGCCGAACTTTTTGCTCATTTTGAGAGCAAAACTGCATTTTCGTCTGAGGATGCTCTTTGGCTTTTCCAAACTAATGTCATGAGCAAGTGGTCATGGTTGGGTGGAGATCAAGGACCCTCAAGAGCTAATGGCTCTTGATGATTTTTTTAATAAGAAGGAAGATGCAGCCTCTGATTCAGAAGATCCCTGCACCACAAATGCCTTCCCTTTGTGAGAATACGCCTGCCATGATCTTTATTCTCCTTTAGGCACCGGCCACCTGGGTAGTCTCAGAGGCAGAGCCCAGAGGCCACGTGGACCTCTGGTCTGGGCCATTGCTACCATTTTAGTAATGGAAATCTCCACACCCGAGGTGACACTTCTGTACCTGAACTGGAAAGACTGTGTTTTCGAGCAGATGAGACCTGCAAATGTTTGTTTGTTCCCTTGTAATAATAAAGACGCACCTTTTTAATGGGTGAATGCTGCAGGAAAAACTCCTCCTGTGCCTGTGTGTTGAGAGCTGTCATGTTAAGGTTATGTTTATACATGTGTGCTGGCACTGTGGTTAACCACCAGTACATTAGCCTCTGTAGTACAGAAACCATGATGTGGAGGAGGAAATGGTGGAAATTTTTCTTACAGCGGGTTGGGTGGGTCAGGTGGCTCTTCTGAAGCTGTCTCTGTCATAGCATGGCAGGAGGAGGTCTGGGGCATGGAGGTGAAACTTGCAGGGACTCTTACACAGGTACTGAATTTTAGCCAATTTGTATTTTAAAGTTGCCTTGGTTTTGGTCCTGGATTTACTTTGATTGCTGGGAAAAAAGTTTCCTTGTTTATTATAACTATACCAGTGTTTAGGCTGTGTTGGTCACACTGCTAAAAGCAATATGGTTGTATGCGTATATCTCTATACATCTGTATTATGTATATATGTACGACATTTCATTGGTATTAATATAAATCTAGAATTTAACATATCACCCAAGTATTTTCCCCCCCGCCAAGCATTAAATTAAAAACCTGACTTGTTTTTACTCTCCATCTTGTTTTTTAAATTTTTTTTTTCTTATTAAAATCCAAAGTGGTAAATAAAACCATCCCAACCTTCTACAAAGAAGATTCAAACTGCTGTTAAAGTTACAGGGTCAGTCAGCTAAATGGGTATTAGTAACATAATGACAGAGCATAAGCCAGGCAACGTAGCAGGATTTGCAAATCAGTAACAATAATGCTCCTTTTCTCTCTGTTGTCTAATCGATCGCTCAGGGTTTGGAGATGGGGACTCCTGCCATAGACCTGTGACTGCCAGCGAATGGCTCCCTCGCTCCCAGAGTCAGCTCCCCGGCCGTAAAACATCGTGGCCTTTCTGGAGAGCCAGAGGTTTATTTAAAGCATCAGAAGCACCCACTCCTCGGAGCCCCTCTCCCCATGCACCCCCCATCGTGGCAGGTCGGGGGTACCGCAGGGGTGCCTGGGGAGGAGCTGGGAAAGCTAACCCCCCAATCAGCGTTGCAAAAAAAAAGATCAAAAAAACCCAAAGAGACGAAAAAAGACAAAAAAAAAAAAAAGGTGAAAAAAGAAAGACAAAAAAGAGAGAGAGGATTTGGCTGTAAATAAGGCGCCTAGCAACTCAGTGCTGAAATGATAGAAAGTGCATGTATGAAGCAGAGGAACAATGTCTTGCTTTGACTCGCTATGGACTGACAAGGAGAGACGCTCCTGATAGCAGAGGCTGGTGAGAGGTAGCAGAGGGACCACGATTCGACAGTAAAAAAAAAAAATCACGGTGGCAGAAAAAGTTTTTCCCTTGTCCTGTACCCTTTTCAGTTTTCCATCCTTCTTGCCTGCCCATCTTGACCTTTGGTTTGGGTGAGGATGTTGTTAATACACGCTGCCGTAAAAAGTGGCAGGAAGGAGGCACCTTACAGCCCTGGCAAGGTCTGGTAGGCGCCGGGCAGCGTCCTGCTCCAGGAGCTGGGCGACAGCCGAAAGCTGCCGGGCCAGAGGCACCTGGTCATCCCTCCCTGCCTTCTGAGCTTGGGCTAAGGGGGAAGCCCGGCTACACACGTGTCTCCCCGTAAAAACAGTGGCCCGGCCACTGCTGAGCCCGCTGCCTCGGCAAAGACAACATCTTTGGGAGCTCCAGGCTAGCCCCTGTTCCTCTGAAATGCTTGCGTTTAGGAAAACTTAAATATTTCCTGCCGTACTTGACATTTTATTATCATCTATGTGTGTTTAATCCCTCTTCGTGTCCTGCCGAGCTTCTGAGAAAGCAATTTAGAGGCTTCATCCTGAGGAAAATCAAAAGTTAGCAGGTGTTATTAGTACTTATACCGGGGCGCACATTACTTTCGATTATTCGGGTAGGAAGATGGGAATACTGTTGCCGACTTTAACTGTGCAGTATTTGAGGTCGTAAATCCTGCTTATGCACTGGCACCTCGCCTCTGCTGTCGGGCCTGCCTTGCCGCAGGGGAGGTGCCCGTGCCTCTCTCCGAAGCGGGGACTCCTGCAGATGGCCAAAAGCGCTTTGGGTCGTCGGCGGTTCGGGTCGTTCCCTGGCTGACGCATGCGACCTCAAGGCAAAGCCAACGCCGATCGTCCGCTGCACTCAGTGGCATGACTTTGTAGCTTTGCCCCAGAAAAATGGAGAAAACTTTATTTCTTTAAATTGATATTTTGAATTTGTTTCTCACGGGGACTCTAGACCTAGTTACCTCTCTCTGCCTCGGGCCAGATTGCTTTTCCTGATCGGTGTGGCACACAGTCTTGATCTCCTGGTGCCGTTTAGATAATTATACTCATTAACGGACGTAAAGGAGGTGTCAGATTAATTTTGACGGCATAACTAGGCTTTGCCTAGAGTTACCATGGCCCTGTCACTGTGCAACGTGAAGGAGTTACCCACGGGTCCGTGGGGTGAACAGAGAGACCCTAGAGCCAATCTGCTTAGCAGGGCAGAACGCGGGAGGGCGTTCGTGCCGCTGGTGGAAGTCGCCACTCGCAAAGTAGAGGGTTGCATTTCCACTGGTTTGGGACACAGGCCTTGACTACCCTCTCCTTTTCTTCACGTGTTTGTTCCAGCCACGTGCAAGAGGAGCGCCGGGCTGCAGGCTCCCGTAGCCCGCCTTGCTTGGGTCCTCCGTGGGGCTTCTGTGCAAACCTCGTCTGGATCCGCGCAGAGCCATGGAACGCCGCGCCAGTCGGTCTGAACAAACCACTCTCTAGGAGGACACGGAGCAGGTAATGGTTTTGGCAATGCCTTACATGAAATATTTTGCAGTTGGAGCAATAAGAGCTGGAAAAAGCTTTGAGAGAATTACAAACCACAAGTTCTGACTCAGCTCAGAGAGAAGAATCAAGTGTAAAGTCATGCAAAAGGGTTTTCTATAAAACCAGAAAGGTTTGTTTTGATGCAAAAATACTGGAAGCTGTTCAAAAAGACCTCTGGAAAAGAGACTGGCTCCCAGTAAGTCTCCATTGCTTTCTGGACCACCTCCCGTAGACTTAACATTCCCTTCATATTAACAGCTCCAAGACTGTTCCATGGAGATACGTGCATGCAGGCTGGAAATCTTGAATCACAGGATGTATTTTTTGTCAGATGCAGGCAAAGGAGGAATAATTTAGGACAGATAGCAAAGGAAAGATAATTTAGAAACCACAGGCCTTGTCACACCTAACCTATGCTCGTACCTCTGCTGTAGAGCAAGATACTTGAGGTTGGATGGTGACGGTTTTGCTAAGTGCAGTCACAGCCATGTTGTCCCGTTGAAACATAACAGAAGCCGTTGTTTTCCATACCTTCCTCACACATAGCAGTTCTCCCAGGCAGTGGGGCAGTCGGAGCATTTGCTTCACCCAGGAATCAAAAACTGCTGTTCGCAGGTGGGGTGCGGGACAGGACAGGGGCTCAGTCCCCCGGGGGAAGGAGCCAATAGCAGGGTGATTTAATTCCCTGATGTGGCAACTTAAGCGGCCCAATGAACTGACCTGCCTGCGTTAATAGAAAATGTTTTTAACGTCCAAAATTTTCCCTATTCACCTGAAAACAAGAATAAAATTGATGGTTTAAAAAGAAAAATGGCCTCAGTGAGAGGAAGTTGGTCATCTCTCTGTCACCCTTTCCCTTGGTGTTCCTTCAGTAAAGGCCAACCTTGTAACGCATTGCCAAGCTTGAGTCCTTGGGACACCAAGGCTGTCCCAAAAGATGCAAGTGCATCTTTTCCAATAGCCCTGCTCTACCGCACCACGGGCTCCCGCTGGTCTCAGGGGCACCCGGGGCAACTCTTCCCTTCTTGAGCTCCAAGGGTGGGAAAATTAAAGGCAGGGCTGTCAGATGAGACGCCTGCGTGCACTCCCGTGTGCTTGCTGAGTTAACCTGGAGAGCGGAGTTTGGGGAAGTGGTGTTATACTGGGGGAAGACTATGGCGAGAGTGAAACGAGAAGAAGTGGGATGGCGACAGAAGACGGGGCACAGTCCCGTACGGACAGGGAGGCTGAGACTCCTCCACTGCACCTGCCCCCGGGGCTTGCATGGCTCTGCCGGGCTGGGCGTCGCAGCAAGGAGCTGCAGCTGGGGCGAGTCCCCAGGGCGGGGTGCAGTGTGTTATCTGGGTAGATCCCTCCTACACGGGGCTGGAGAGGCAGGGAGAGCTGGGATGCCAAACTGGGAACGCCCAAGGTGCTACTGGGGCTATCTGGGTCCTTGCAAGTCCTCCCCCATACCCCCTCCGTAAATACCTCTGTGGGTAATGGCAAATGTTTCATTTAAGAAAAAAAGAACACCATTCCTACCAGTCCCGGGTAAGTCTGAATTTGCTTTGGGTGACTAAACTGATGACAAATGCGTGTATTTTCCAGCTTTCACTCAGAACGAGATTTTGCTCTGGGAAGTGTGTGTTTCTTATCAGGGCCACTGCCTACCCGTTGGTGGTAGGCAGGGACCTGCTGTGAAATGATACATGTATATATGTGTGATTTGCAAAATTTATAAAATATATTTTACAATTTACATAAATTTATAAACCTTTGCATCGCCCAGCCATGTGTGTGTGTTTATGTATCTGTATAAAGTATGCTGCTTCATACATGCACTGAAAAAGGAAGACAGTCTGGCTCTGGATAGGCAGTGTCGTAAATACATGCCAGAATACATGCTGGGAGACTGCTCTCCCAGATGTCCAGAACAGGGACCTTTTCAATTTTTTTTAGATCTGTTGCCCGTGCCCAAGCCCAGAAATAAGTAAGAAGTAAATATGGTCAAGTCACAGCAGTCTGATTCTACTGAAATCTGGTAAAATGAGTATGTTATGTTATGGTTTCTTGCTCTTGAGTATTTCTGAAAAGGTTCTAATGGGTTTTAATAGAAAATTGCTCTCAATTACTTTCTTAGTTCAATATTCGATGGACTTTTGTTTGTACATGTTCTGGAATTCCTGTGGCAAAGAAATGTCAGACACTCAAACAGTCTTATGAAAGCTGGTGACAGGAGCAAACCTCTTCTGCAGCTCTGTTGTCACCTCAGAACACCATCCCTTCCTGAAAATGGTATTTTCACATATTCACGTGCTTCCTCTCAGGCCACTGAAGAACATGAGAACAGATGCAGAGTGGATTTTCATATAATCTTTTCTCTGTGTGTGTGTATATCTATGAGTGCATATGTATATTCTCACACAATTTTACATATGTATTTAATAAAAGCAATAGTTAGGTTAATCTCAAGGCTACTGTGAGCTATACACACAAGAAAAAACAGATCCGAGGAATACTCTATTTAAATGTAAAGTTAATTTAAGTGGCAGAAGAAATGTGAACTTTTGAAATATTTTCAAAATTCGTTAGTGAATCATTGTAAAAATGCATTTCACCGTGGAAGGAATTTCAGTAAACCAGGACTCCAGTTCTACTTGTTTCATGCTTTTGAGAATACTGACTGAAGTTAATGGGACTATTCTTATGGGTAAAAAGAGGTGATTTGGTCCCAGGAACACCTAGCTGGGCTTCAAAATTAACTTAAGGCTGAAACACAAAACCTTTTCATTGCTTGGAAAGGGAAATTTGAGGAAAAGGAGGGCACTAACGTGGTTTTGGGGAGTCTAGGCAGCACATTCCTGGTTGGAAGGCAGAGATCAAATTTCCATGAAATCTACAGCTCTGGGTACTGTAAACTTTGTTTGCTGTATTTTTAGATGGGAAGCCAGATCCAATTCTTCATTAAGAAGAGGGGAAGCAGAGGGGAAGCAGAAATTTTTCCCCTGGTAAAAATTCTCCCATCCTAGTGCTCTAAAATAGTAGTGTGTCAGCCTATGGGTTAATGGAATGAGTAACTGAAGCATTATACTCTTCTCAGCAGGTTAATTTATGGAGATGTGTAAATTTTTTGGCAGTGTGACCTTTTTGGGTTTGCTTTGATAATTTTTCTGTCTCAAAATTTATACTAGATTTGTAACCAGATATTCAGCACATTAATCTGTTACAAGGATGAATGAATGAACATTGCTGTTATTTGGATCTCTTTCACTTAGAATCATAGAATCATAGAATAGTTTGGGTTGGAAGGGATCTTTAAAGGCCATCTAGTCCAACTTCCCCTGCAATGAGCAGGGACATCTTCAACCAGATCAGGTTGCTCAGAGCCCTGTCCAACCTGACCTTGAATGGTTCCAGGGATGGGCCATCCGCCACGTCTTTGGGCAACCTGTGCCAGCGTTTTACCACCTTCATTGTGAAAAATTTCTTCCTTAAATCTAGTCTAAATCTGCTCTCTTTTAGTTTAAAACCATTATCCCTTGTCCTATTGAATCAGGCCCTGCTAGAATGGAGAAGGGGGTACTGACAAACCCCCCTCTCAATCTCAGCACGCTGCAGTGAGTCACCTAAACTCTGCAAAAGGTGAAACATCCAAATAATCTGACACACTGTTGGTTTTTTTCTGAGTAGCTGACCACACGTCAAATACGTGACTCATGGCCCCTCCAGCAAGATTGGGAGCGGTTTCTGGGTCGGTGCAACAGCCCCGCAGGACACAAAGAAGGTGAGGATGGGAGGAACCTGGCTGGGTCTGCCAGCTGGACAGCACTTGATGGCTCTGGGACACAGGCACTTTCAAACAAATGGAGAAACATGGTATTTAAAAAAACCCTATTGCTGTTATTCTCTCTCACCTGACATGGGCACATATCTGCTGCTTCTCCACTCTCTGGCTTGTGAGAGCCCCGGTGGGTCTAATTCATGGTTTGTAAGGTGCTGAAAATGGGGAGGAGGTCTGAAGCTTCAGCCGGGGTAGCCTGGTATCAGTGGACATGCTGGTGTGGATTTCTGAGGATATGCTGGCTTGGGGGACAGATCCAAGTAAGCACAAGTGTGCATTTGATTGCCAGCAGAAGATCTTGTGGGAATGATACTAAGAAAGAGAAATGTGTGTGGGTGAGTGCCCTGAAATAGGCAGCTTTCAATTAGAGACGACCTGGCTTTAAATCCCTATGCGGAGACTTTGGTATACAGCATTGAAAGGAGCTAGGTGGGGTTTTTTTTTTATTGTTTAATATGCTGTTCCTTCTTTCTTTCAGATGGATTTCAGAAAATTCAGGCTGTTTGTTTGCCTTGTAGGGCTCAGCTGTGCTAGCTTCTGGTTTTTTTACAGCAATTTGACTGAATTCTGTATATTCTGTGAGAACAGCCAAGATTACATACTCCCCATACAGACTTTTAGGAGAATTGGAGGAAACTTTTCACAGCTTCCGGATATAGACTGCCATAAGAACCCGCCTTTCCTCATCCTGCTTGTGACATCCTCGTACCACCACGCCGATGCCAGGATGGCCATCCGGCAAACCTGGGGGAAGGAGAGAACAGTTGCGGGCAAGCGCCTGGTGACATATTTCCTTCTGGGAAGCACTGTGAATCTCAGCCAGCAGGCTGATATTGCTGCTGAAAGCCAAAAGTACAAAGACATTATTCAAAAGAATTTTACAGACACGTATTACAACTTGACTTTGAAGACCATGATGGGAATTGAATGGGTTCACAGATTTTGTTACCAGTCAAGCTTTGTGATGAAAACTGACACAGATGTGTTTGTCAATGTTTTTTACCTCACTGAGCTTCTTCTAAGGAAAAAGAGGTCCACTAGATTCTTCACAGGCTTTTTAAAACTGCACGAATACCCCATCCGGAGAAGAGGGAGTAAGTGGTACGTGAGTAGAGAAGAGTATCCTGGAAAGACCTACCCGCCGTTTTGTTCTGGGACTGGCTATGTTTTATCCACCGACGTTGCTAGTCAGATCTATAACATTTCAGAGAGCGTTTCGTTCATTAAACTGGAGGATGTATTCATAGGACTGTGCCTTGCCAAATTAAAAATTCATCTGGAGGAGCTTCATTCAGAGCAGACGTTTTTTCCAGAAAGGATTAGGTTCTCTGTTGCTCGCTTTAGGAGAATCGTGATGTGCCATGAAGTAGAACCATCTGAGCAGCTGAGCTACTGGAATCACTTAGTGACAGAAGATCACAGGGGAGTGCTCTAGCACCTTCCCCACTTGAATTAACAAACTGAAACGCTCTGCATTTACAAGGTTGCTCTTTACTCCAGAAGAACTCCAAATTAACTCTAGATCCATCATGTTAAAGACTTTTTAAATGGTTATTTTAATCTCCATTCCTTCCCAGGAACATGCAAACCTCTTTCCCATTCACTCTCACCTCTTTGCATCCCTTCTCTCTACACAAGTTACAATTATAATTTTTTTCTGAAAGATGCAAGCCTGCAAACCTGCCCTCCAAATCTTGCTGCTACAGGACTGGGAACATTTCTGCTAAAGTAAAGGCCAAAGTACTTTTGTTCAGAGGAGAAAATTTACACCCTCTCCCTGGTCCTCCTTGATAGATTACTGCATTTGCACTCATCTGTGCTGGCATTTAAGAAAAGGTGCTGGTGGCTGTCAGGACGTTCCCCTCCTGGCATAGGGAGCTGCAGCCCTGCCCTTGCAGCCAGCTCCGTGTGGGCAGAACTGCGTGCTGGCACAGATCCCTCCGTCAGTCTACACACCTTTTTTGCAGAGGGGGAAGGATTTGCCCATGCAGCGCTCTTGGGACAACCTTAGGTACTGCAGATCACCTGGTGAACGTGTAAGGTTGCT